GTTGTAGAGGGTGGCAAAATAGTGAAAGGGCTTATAACCTACAGATTACAAAAATTAGACAAGTTCCCTAGCTTGAGATTCATGACCTTTAGTCTGGCTCTGATACCAAATTAAAGCACGTGCTCCATCTCAACTAAAAGTCTAAGCTAATAATTGGATTGCACATTAATGGTTATATGCTGTTCTTGAGCATATAGCCATTAATATACAATCCAACTATTAGCTTAGGTTTTTAGTTGAAATGGAGCACATGCTTCAATTTGGTATCAGAGCCTCGTTCCCCGTGTTGCTTGGAACCCACCGCACACGTGAGTGGCGTGTTGAGCATATAACTATTAATGTGCAATCCAACTATCAACTTAGACTTTTAGATGAGATGTATCACATGCTTCAATTTGGTATCAGAGCTAGACCAATGGTCATGGCTGCTTCAATTTTGTATCAGAGCCAGATCAAAGGTCATGGGTAGCCGTTAATGTACAATCTAACAATTAGCTTAGGCTTTTAGTTGAGATGAAACACATGCTTCAATTCAAAAAATCATAAATAGTTAAAGAAAACGAAAATAACCTGCAAATTACAAGAATTAGAGAAGTTCCCTATAACAGAAAATACATTAACAGTTAAATAAAAAAAAAAAAAAAAAAAAAAAACCCTCCGCTATCATAAATTCAACCCCGTCCGATTTTGAGACAACTTGCTCATCCAAAAGCTGGGCCGAATATTTGACTGCAAAATATATATATATATATATATATATATATATATATATATATATATATATATATATATTAAAAATCAATAGATATATTTAATAATATATGGTATACGGTACCCACCATACACCACATCCTCATCTTTGGGTTTCAACCAGCCCTCCCCTTGAACCAATATCTTCTTAGATATTCCACCATCTTTGATTATAGGGTATTCGGTACCCATACGACCCTTAGCTATAATTACAAAGGATACTTAAATGAATTTAGATAAAGGCATGTGGTACACTATGCTCCTCGCTGCCTTGGTTTCCAAAGGCATGTGGTACACTATGCTCCTGGCTGCCTCAGTCTCTAAAGGCATCTTAAGGGAAGCGGAGGGGCTGCCCCGGTCACCTAAAATTCGAATCATTGACCTTTAGTCTGGCTCTGATACCAAATTGAAGCATGTGTTCCATCTCAACCAAAAGCATAAGCTAATAGTTGGATTGCACATTAATGGTTATATGATGTTCTTGAGCATATAGCCATTAATGTACAATCCAATTGTTAGCTTAGGCTTTTAGTTGAGATAGAGCACATGCTTCAATTTGGTATCAGAGCCTCGGTCTACGTATTGCTCTGAACCCACCGCACACGTGAGGGGACGTGTTGAGCATATAACCATTAATGTGCAATCCAAGGTTGCAACTCACAGTCCGTTGCAAGGTTGCAACTCCAGGACATAGTTCTCCTACGATCGACGGCGACTTCCATTGTACACGGCTGAAAAAGTTCCGTGGTTAACGGCTCTGCTATACGATTTAGTGCTTTAGAGGGAGAGAGAGAGGCGGTGGTAGTATGAGACTCTGCTTTCGACCGAAAACAGAGGCGACGATCGGCGTTGCGTACAAAGAAGAAGAAGACAGACCCTATGTAGTTTAGGCGCATAGACTTAAAGGCGCCATAGACCGCCTAAACTACATAAGACATGGGATCTGGTTTGGGTCGAAAGGTTGTCTATGGCGGACTTTAGAAAGGGTTTAGGCTTTAAACAGACCGACTCAAGTACTCAACGATAAATTTAATCCGTTGAGTACTTGAGTCGTTGAGAGAGTTTAAAAAAAATTTCAAATTCTCCGCAGCCTTTTATTTTTTTAACTCATTTTTATTTTCCTAATTTCTTTCAAATTAAATTAAACAAATAAATTTCATCAAACAAGTCAAATTTTGATTTGATAATTTTTTTTTAAACATTGACATGAGTATTTCATCAATTCTTTCTTTCATGGAAAACAAAAAGAAAAATATTGGATGAAAGAATAAATGTGGTAAGTAATTTAATTTAATTTTAAAAATTGTAACAAATTATGAGTAATTTTTAAAAAAAATTAATTTAAAAGCAATGTGTAACTATTAAATCATAATTTAGTGTAATAATTATTATAGTTTAATAATTAATGTTTTTTTATGTGAAAAGGGAAATCATAACCACTACATGGTATACATTGTAAATTGTATAAATTGTATGTAAAATGTCTGGTGTAATGGGATCGAGTCAGGGCCGGTCCTATCATTCTATAGGCACAGGGCATAGTAACAAAAATGGGCCCTATATTAAATTAATGTATATTTTTATAACTAAAATTTAAATTAAATAAGAAAAAAATAGTAATGTCCAATAACTTAAATAAGATTCACAAGTTTTTAACAATTTTACATACACATGAAAACAATTATAGATGCATTCGTGAATTCAAAATAATCAATAATCGCATCAGTGTTTTCATAAATAAAGAATTATATAGTTTATAAAATGAATAAATAGTTTAAAACCAAATATAGCTTATAGACAATAACATTATTATTATAATAAATACTAAAGTACTTATTAAAAACAAATTATAAAATAAAACTTATAAAAAAAGAGCATAGCATAAAATCTTAATTATTGAGAACAATAAATCAAAACACTCAAATATGAAACATAACTAATTACATAAAATAGTTTGAATAAAAAACACGTACTAAATCACACATCTTCTATATTAATATCATATTTATAATTTTTTTTAAATAGATCACTTTCAAATTTTTCTAGATTGATTTGAATACGATGACAAACAATAAAACTTCTAAACTACTACATTGACTAGATAATTCATAAAAAAAAATTAATTATCTTGTAAAATATTTTCATAACTAAATCACAAAATATATTATATATACATAACTCATTATAAATTTCACAAAATAACACATATTCTAAATATAAGTAGCAAATCAGTCGAATAGAAATAGATTCAAAATTTGATAGGAATCACAAATCAATCTATATTATAAATCTCACTACAAGTCTACTAAAGGTAAAAAAAAAAAAAAAAAAAAAAATCACAAAATTACAAATTAAATTTAAAAAAATACAAATTAAAAATAGAAATTAATTTGGTAAGTTACAATTTTATTATAATAACATCCCTAAATTCATCTACTAAAAAGTAGGGAGGAAAGATTTTATGTAAAAATATATATGAGGGGATTTGATCTCTTGACCATGAGTATACAAAATTACAAACTACAAATCTTACCAACTCAACCAACTAAAAACATATTATAATAGTATCCCTAATTTATCTATTAACTATTACATACGGGAAATTTTATGGAAAACAACATCTAGGGGGATTCGATCCATTGACCATATGGACAAAAAAAACAGAATCCTACCAACTAAGCTAACACAAGGAACAATAACATTAACGTATGTTAAATAATTGTACGAAATACTATGGTATATATATAAGAGGTCATGGGAGTGGTGGGCCCCTTCCAAGCATGGGCCCTGGGCAAGGACCCAGCCTGCACTTGCCCAAGGCCGGGCCTGGATCGAGTGTGAAAGTGTCGGAGGAATCACCACTAGATAGTACCATAAGCATATCTTTTGCAATACAAAACCATATTAGTTGGTGTGATCCATGCTTCTTATTGTTTCCACTTCTACCATAAAATGGATTATTAATTTAATCTAGTTTCCTAGTGCGCTTCACTGTAAATTTAGTGTCTTGACGCGGTGCACATTCAAAAACATAACCAAATTATCCTTTCCCAAAAAGACATAATTTCTCATATGTATTAACTACACTCTTCGACCAATATACGAGCCTCTAGCCATAGAGTGAGAAATCACATTAATTGGTTGTTATATTGTATTTTTTCAAATACACTCTAACATAACAATTATGTCAAATTTGATTGTGATGAGTTCGAACTTAAGACATTCCTTATGAAAATCAATGAATAAATTAAGAATAATAAATAGTTAACGGAATATTCCATTACTGAAGTTTACACTTAAGCAAAGATATTTATGAAAAGTAAATGATATAATATATAGTAAAGTATGAAAAATAATTAAAATCAAAACAATATGAATCATTTCAACAAACAGTTATATCAGTATTTTTTAGTTCCAGTTATAGATCTAATTTTATAAATTGACTCTTATTAAGTCTGTAGATAGATATACTTCACAACTTTTGTAAGCAGGTATATCCTTGCAATGTTAATACTTTATCTAAGTTGTTATTAATATTTTATTTACTTTTTTTAATAGTGATGTACTTTGAATTAGTATAACTCAAATCTTAAAAAAGAATAAAGAAACCATTTTATATATAAATAGACTGACGATTTTATTTTTTAAGTTAACAAATAAAATAAAAATTATACACAACTATTTATATTATATAAGTCAAAGCCATTGAGACAGCTGTGAGGCTGTGATGTAAGATAGCTACTATATATAGCACCAAATAGTTAGATGTATAGATTGAAACGTGAATGATAAGAAAAGTTATATATTTTAAAACTCTTATTCGATCTTGTGGATTCAATTGATTATTGCAAAGGATCGGATATGATGTATGTTAAGTTGTTTTCCAAATTAATGGCTTAATATGATATCCAAATCATATCATCTGCGCCAAAGTCAGAAATAAGCCATTACACGCCAACATTTTATCGCAAGTAACCTTCTTTATTCTTTAAATTAATATAGAGTTCTACTACATAGACTCCCAAATTCTACTCTCTCATTTATACTCCCTGAAGTGGCAAACCAGAATTGGTTATTTTCATCATGTGGGTTCATAGAAAAATGTCTACATCAAAAGCATTTGAGAGGGAGTACAAGTTAGGAGTTTAAAATGGGAGTACCGCAAGTATTTTTCATTAATATATACTGAAACATATCAGAATACTTAACCAATCACTTCTATATATACTTCTTGAATCATAATATCCTAGCTTAAACCTTCAAACAGCCTCCAGCTAGAAATCAGAATGTCATCATCGTCTGAGCATGGTTCTTGTTCAAAGCTCCCGTTGCGAGAAATCCCAGGCAGTTATGGTTTGCCGTTTTTTGGGGCGATTAAGGATCGATATGACTTTCATTACAACCAAGGCATAGAAGCTTTCTTCCGCTCCCGCATGCAAACCCATCAATCCACCGTTTACCGAGCAAACGTGCCGCCGGGGCCTTTTATGGCCGGAGATTCCAAGGCGGTCGTCCTCGTCGACGCCGTTAGCTTCCAGATCCTCTTCGACAACGCTAGAGTAGACAAGACGGATTTCTTTGACGGTAACTTCATGCCCTCCACCGACTTCTTCGGCGGCTACCGTCTCTGCCCTTTCCTCGACACCACCGAGCCTCAACACCAAACCCTAAAGAATTTCTTCCTCTCCACGCTCGCCGGCTTACATAATAAGTTCATTCCCATTTTCTCCCTCTGCATGTCCCAGCTCTTCACCAAGCTTGAAGATGGAGTGGAGGGTAAAGATGGAAAATCCTACTTCAACGACCTCAGCGATGAAACGACGTTTAACTTCATGTTCCGTCTATTTTCCGGCAACAGAGATCCGACGGAGACCGCTGTCGGATCTAACGGCACGGAGTACCTTAACAAATGGGTATTTCTCCAGTTGGCTCCATTGATGACACTCGGGCTGAAATACCTCCCCAATTTCCTAGAAGACTTAGCGTTGCACACTTTCCCGTTACCGTTTTGCTTGATGAAATCTGATTACAAGAAAATTTACGATGCTTTCTATAGCTCCCTGGGATCCATCTTGGACGAAGCTGAGAAGATCGGGATCAAAAGAGACGAAGCCTGCCATAACTTCATTTTTCTGGCAGGGTTCAACGCCTACGGCGGGATGAAAGTGTTCTTCCCCTCTCTCATCAAGTGGGTCGGCGCTGCGGGGGAGGGCCTGCACCGCCGGCTAGCGGAGGAAATCAGGGCGGCGGTTAAACAAGAAGGCGGCGTTACACTCTCAGCGCTGAACAAGATGAGTTTGACAAAGTCGGTGGTGTACGAGACACTACGGATTGAGCCTCCGGTTCCATTCCAGGTGGGGCGGGCCAGGGAGGACATCGTGGTCGACAGCCATGAATCGTCGTTCTTGATTAAGAAAGGCGAGGTAATCTACGGGTATCAGACGTTGGCGACGAAGGATCCCAAGATATTTGAGAGGGGTGAGGAGTTCGTGGGGGATAGATTCGTGGGTGATGGGGAGAAATTGGTGAAATATGTGTACTGGTCTAACGGGAGGGAGACTGAGAATGCAACGACGGCGGATAAACAGTGTCCCGGCAAGGATCTGGTGGTGGTGCTGGGGCGGCTGATGTTGGTGGAGTTTTTCCTTAGATATGACACATTTTCCATAGAATATGGAACCATCCTTCTCGGCCCTTCCGTCACTTTTACCTCCGTAACCAAAGCTACATGAGCTTGCATTGCATGGTGAACTGGTTTTAATTTCCATTCAATTCAGACTGTATATATATTGTATGTTGTGGCTTGTTAATACAATATTTTTCTGTATTTTGTATATAAAAACTATTTTCTTCTATATTGTGACTGTCATATTGAATTTCTATTGAGTTAATACACAAAATCGTCCTTGACTATAGTGATTTTTCTTAATTTTGTCCTAAACGACTTTGGTGACCTAATATCGTCCCAGACTTTTGTGTTTCACTCAATTTAGTCCCAGACTTTGGTGTGTTTGCTCAATTTAGTCCCTCATTTGTTATTGTGTCCATTTGGTGTTAACTAAATAGACAATTTAGTAATTTTAATATTGGCATCTCTTTACTCATAGACATGTGAACTGCGAAATCTTTTTTTTTTTTTACAAATTACTCCCAGAATTACTCCTAAAACTGCGAATATAAAATTTGATTTGCAGGTCCGGGAGTAATTCTGGGTGTAATTCGTACAAGAAAGAGGAATTTCGCACTTCACAAGTTGAAAGTAAAGAGAGATCAATATTGACATTACTGAATTGTCCCTTTATTTAACACCAATTTGACGGAATAACAAATGGAGGACTAAATTGAGCGAAACACAAAAGTCTGGGACGATATTAGGTCACCAAAGTCGTTTAGGACAAAATTGAGAAAAATCACTATAGTCGAGGACAATTTTAGGTATTAACTCTCAATTTCTATTTATATAAAGTATAATTATTGTCCACTTTTATTTGAGTAAATTCTTCTAACCCATTGTTTCATTCAGCAAACTAAAAACAAGTGAGTGGTAGTTTAGTGGTAAGTTGACCTAAGCTTTGCATCGGGGTAGTATTTTTTTTAAAGGATTACTTATCCTGTAAATCTCTCTCACTTTTTTAAATGGGTCTTACTTCCACATTACCCAATTTATAAATCATTACTATTCACACTACATCCTCTAATATTCTCTCACTTTCTAAAGTGGTCACACTTTCATATTATATTATAAATATAATAATATAATAATATAATAAATAACTAATAAGAATTTTTTTTTAAAGTACACAAAACTTGCTGCAGTTGCAAACTTTCTATCCAACATGGAACAAAAACTTAAAACAAAATACGGAGTAACTAGCTTTTAAAAAATCACATCATTTAAAAAATTAAAGGGGATGTTGGCTGGGATCAGGTTAGCCTTATGATGTAATTAAAATGATTTATATTATTGTAATTATTTAATTTGTTAGTAGTGATTATATGTTTCTATTGTCACTTTAAAAAAAAAAAACTAAAAATAACATTAACTATAAAACTAAAAAAAAAAAAAAAAAAAAGTTGTATATGTGCAAATTGGTTCTCAACTCCGTTGTAACATAATAATAATAATAATAATAATAATAATAATAATAATAATAATAATAATAATAATAAAAGTCCTACCTAATAATTATATATTAATAAAAAAAAAATTATAAACTACCACACAAGAGCATGTTTATCCATTATTGCACTCTGACAAAATAATAAATCAAGTGAATAAAGATGTGTTGAGCTTGGCAGTTAAGCAGTGTTAGGCTTAGGGGCTCAATTGTCTTTTCTCACCCTTTCATTTTCGGTTATGTTAGTTAGGGTCAAATATAGTCTTCTGATCATCATCTATCCATCGATCTGTAATCTCATTCTCTCCGTACCAGTCCTGATCCTCTATCATCAATGAAGCTTTCTCATTCCTTTCCAATGATGCTCATCATACATTAGCTTTCCTATCATGGTATCAGAGCGACGCCATAGCTACGCAGCAGCAGTAACTATGAATAACGCAGGAGGAGAAGGAAGCTCAGCCGCACAAACCTTCCCCCCTGCGAATCAGAATCCAGCAAACTCCAGTCCGATTCAACGGAGTGATGAGTTCGATGATCCGTTCTACTTGCACATCACGGAGAATCCGAACTTAGTCCTTGTTTCTCCACCATTGTCCGAGCACAATTATGCATCATGGAGCAGGTCTATGAAAATAGCCTTGGAAGTCAAGAATAAATTCGGTTTTGCTACTGGATCGATTCCGAATCCAGGGGAAGGTGATCCTAGATATGCAGTCTGGAGAAGGTGTAATAACATTGTGTGTTCATGGATCCTAAAATCCCTCAACTCAAGCATTGCGGAAACAGTTTTGTACTATGAAGTAGCTGCTGACATTTGGAGATCTCTTAAGAAGAGATACTCACAGGCAGATCCTCACATAATTGCTGAGCTACAAAACCAGATCTACAGGAATTCACAAGGTAATCTAACTGTGAATGAATACTTTACTAAATGCAGTGCCTTATGGGAGAAACTGAATGCTATGAGACCTTTGTTAGTTTGTGAATGTGGTCTTAGATGTACTTGCAATTTATTGAGTAAAATGCAGAAAGAAAGAGCAGATGACCAAGTTATTAGATTCCTTGATGGTCTTAATGATGATTTTGAGTCCATTAAGTCAGGAGTGCTTGTGATGGACCCTATTCCAGATATGGAGAAGGTCCTCAATATGGCCCTAAAGTTAGAAAGGAATATCAGTGGGTCTATGATGCAGAGAAATAGTGAAATAAGTCAGGCTAATGCAGCTCACAACATTCAGAACCAATTTTCAGAAGAAGACAGTTTTGTGGCAGTATCACCCTCCAACTTCAAGAAGAAGTTTAATAATAATGGGAAAAATGTGCCTAAGTGCACTCATTGTGGCATGACTGGTCATGTTGTTGAAAAATGCTACAAGAAACATGGATATCCCCCTGGATGGATCCCAGGATACAAATCCAAGAACAAACAAATTCAAGAGGGTCACCAGTCATCAATTTCATCCATTAATCAAGTTAATGAAGGTGGAGCCTCATCTCAAGCCACTGATATTGGGATATCATCTGACCAACTTTAGAGGTTGATGGCCTTCATACAGAATCAAGGAAAGGGAAGTCAATCTACTACCAATGCAGCTGTGACAGTAAACACCTCAGGAATGAAGCCTGCCTTCAGAGCCTCTAATGAAGGTATTCCTGTCTCTTACATGCTTGTTAATACTACCATAGCTTCAAATGCATGGATTTTGGACTCAGGGGCAACAGATCACATCAGTTGTTCCCTAGAGTATCTTGATAAATATGAAAAGGTTCATGGAGTTTTTGTGAGATTGCCCAATGGAGAAACAGTCACTGTCAGTCATATTGGAGAAGTAAGACTTCATCATCAGTTAATATTGAAAGATGTGTTGCACATTCCATCATTCACATTCAATATTATCTCTGTCAGTAAGTTAGCTAAACAATCCCATTGCACAATTGTCTTGGATGCTAACATCTGTAACATTCAGGATACTCATGGGACAATGCTTGACTTTGCTAAAGAGAAGGATGGACTTTATTTGATAGATGAGCCTCCAGTTAGAAGACAGATACATTGTGCTGGTAATAATGTTGATGCTCAGTGTAATTCTTTGTCCTTACAGTTGTGGCACAATAGACTAGGCCATTACCCCATAAATAAGATACAACTCTTGAAAGGAATAAAACATGGACAAAGTCCTAAATTGCATGAATTTGTTTGTGATGCTTGTCATTATGCTAAACACAAGAGATCAGTCTTTCCCATCAGTGATTCTAGAGCAGAAAAATGTTTTGATCTAATCCACATGGATGTTTGGGGACCATTTTCTGTTGCTTCTCTAAAAGGAGAACATTATTTTTTAACTGTTGTGGATGAACATAGCAGGTTTACTTGGCTACATTTGATGAGTAACAAGTCAGAGGTTAAAACTCTATTTGAGAACTTCTGTCAATATGCTAACACTCAATTTTCTGCAAAAGTAAAGGCCATAAGAACAGATAATGGCAAAGAATTCTTTTTAGATAAACTCTGTGTTGAAAAAGGAATTATGCAACAGAAATCATGTGTTTACACTCCACAGCAAAATAGAGTGGCAGAAAGGAAGCATCAACATATTTTAAATGTGGCTAGGGCCTTGCAGTTCCAGTCTGGTCTCCCAATGAAGTTCTGGGGACAGTGTGTTCTCCATGCTTGTTATCTTATAAACAGGTTGCCCACTCCTGTGATTAATGGACAAACCCCCTTTGAAGTCTTGTTCAATAAAGCTGCCAATTATGATCATCTAAGAGTTTTTGGTTGCTTATGTTATGCTGCCACCACACCCCAAGGGAGAAATAAAATGCAAGCAAGAGCTAGAAAATGTGTGTTTTTGGGAATCCCTGCACATGTGAAAGGATATGTTATGTATGACATTGACAATCAGGATGTCTTTGTCTCTAGAGATGTGCAGTTTTATGAACAAACCTATCCTTTTGCAGAAGAAGAATCAAGGACTAGAAGAAGGAGAGCCTATCTTAGGTCAGTCTGACTTTGAAGAAACTGAAGTCTTAGAATCAATGGTCCATCCCTTTGTCCACAGAGGGGGCATACCTGCTGGAAGCCATAATAATGATGGAAATGATGGAAGGAGTTCCAATTCTAATTTTGAGAACATTACATCTCACAGTGCTGACAATGCAGAAAATGAAGAGAGATCAGAAGACATTGATAGTCTGGCTATAGAAGAAGACATGCCTGAGAATCATACTATTCAACCAGAACCTAGAAGATCAGTGAGGGTGAGATCTGCTCCCACTAAGCTGAATGATTATTATTGTCATTCCATGTTTCAGGAAGAAGAAAAGGACTGTAATAGAACTTCCCCATATCCTATAGATAAGTTCATATCTTATGAAGCTTTAACTCTAAGCCATAAATTTTGTGCATCATTCATTTCTTCTGCAATTGAACCACAATCTTACAATGAGGCAGTCCAGCATGAAGAATGGAGACAAGCCATGAAATCAGAAATAGATGCTTTGGTTGAAAATAAGACTTGGTTTCTGACAGATTTGCCACATGGAAAGTCCCCTATTGGTTGTAGGTGGGTGTATAAGATCAAGCATAAAGCTGATGGCTCTATTGAGAGATACAAAGCAAGATTGGTTGCTAAAGGATATACTCAACAATTAGGGGTGGACTATGTTGAAACCTTCTCTCCTGTGGCCAGAATGACCACAATTAGAACTTTCTTGGCAGTGGCTGTGGCAAAAGGATGGGATATTCAGCAGTTAGACATCAACAATGCTTTTTTGCATGGATATTTGAAAGAAGAAGTGTATATGACCTTGCCTCCTGGTTTCAAAAGTGACAATCCCAAGCAAGTGTGTAGATTGGTTAGATCCTTGTATGGATTGAAGCAGGCTTCTAGGCAGTGGAATGCAAAATTGACTAAAGCCTTGATTGACAATGAGTTCCAACAGTCCATGGCAGACCCTTCTTTGTACACCAAAACCTCAGATGGATCTTATATTGCTATTCTCATATATGTTGATGATATCCTGGTGGCAGGCAACAATCCAACCATGATAAATGAACTCAAGATCTTTCTGGACAATGCTTTCAAAATTAAGGACCTTGGCTCCCTGAATTACTTCTTGGGAATAGAGGCCCTCAGGACTTCCAGTGGTCTGAATCTTTGCCAAAGAAAGTACACACTGGAAATCTTGAAGGAAAATGGTTTTATGGATGCTAAGCCCACAAACACCCCTTTTACAGTGGGGCAAAAGCTCACCTCTTTGGAAGGAAAACTTCTTGAAAATCCTGAGATATACAGGAGGCTTGTTGGGAAGCTCATATATCTAACAAGCACAAGACCTGATATCTCCTTTGCCACACAGCAGCTAAGTCAATTTGTGGACAAACCTAAAGATATTCACCTTGTTGCAGCACATAGGGTACTAAGATATCTTAAAGGATCCCCTGGAAAAGGTCTCTTCTACTCTGCAAAGTCTCAAATCAAATTGCAAGGTTTTGCTGACTCAGATTGGGCTACTTGTGCAGAAACAAGAAAGTCCATCACTGGATATTGTGTGTACATGGGAGACTCTCTAATTTCTTGGAAGACAAAGAAACAGCCTACAGTACCTAGATCATCTAGTGAGGCAGAATATAGAGCCTTAGCTTCATCAGTATGTGAAATACAGTGGCTTCTATATTTGTTGGCAGATTTCAGAATTCATCATAGCAGCCCATGTGCTTTGTTTTGTGACAATCAGTCTGCCATAGCTATTGGAGAGAATCATGTTTTCCATGAACGTACTAAGCACATTGAAATTGATTGTCATGTTGTCAAGCAGAAGGTAAATGAAGGAGTAATCAAGCTACTTCCTATATCCTCAAAGAAGCAAGTTGCAGATGGATTCACTAAGGGATTGCCAAAGGGATTGTTCACTCTTTTCCATTCTAAGCTGGGCCTTCAAGATATTCATGCTCCAGCTTACGGGGGGATGACAAAATAATAAATCAAGTGAATAAAGATGTGTTGAGCTTGGCAGTTAAGCATGGCAGTTAATCAGTGTTAGGCTTAGGGGCTAAATTGTCTTTTCTCACCCTTTCATTTTCGGTTATGTTAGTTAGGGTCAAATATAGTCTTCTGATCATCATCTATCCATCGATCTGTAATCTCATTCTCTCCGTACCAGTCCTGATCCTCTATCATCAATGAAGCTTTCTCATTCCTTTCCAATGATGCTCATCATACATTAGCTTTCCTATCACACTCTTCGGATAATGACTGCAAATTTTTCTTGTCACTAAACAAAAATTTACAAATATAACAATAAAATTGTGAAATATCATAGTGAATATTAAGAATGTAAGTTTTGTACAAAAAAACATATATATATTTCGATCCGTATAATTTTACACTACAAAAACTTAATATTGACCAAATAGTTTTGACTCAAGTATTATGCCAATAATAATAATAAGTTAAGGTAACACTTGTGTGAGACCTCTCACATATTTTTATTCGTGAGACAAGTTGGGTTAGACGGTGTTGGTTTTAGAGTTTTTCGGTTCAAGAAGGTCCAACACAACTGTAGTTGGTGGATTCACCGATAAAATGAAAACTATGAACTTAAAAGAAATTAGACACAATGATTTTGACGTGGAAACCGAAAGAAAAACTATGGGCCTTTTTGGGCGGTATCAAACCTTAATTCACTATTCTGTAGGATCATTTATACAAGTTGTATGACTATTTTGTATATGTGATGTTGTGTAGAGATGGAACTACTTTAATTTGTACATTGAGAGAGAATATTCTTCTTGAAAGGATGATGCCTTTCTTGTGGTGAAAGTGGAGTCTTCTTGTATGAAAAAGAGCGATAGAGTCTGGATGATGAAACCTTATTGTGAGGTTAGTTGGAGATGAAGTAGCATGGAGTCCTCTTGTGGGTGAAGGAATAATGCTATCTTCTAGTATGGGGAAGGGTCATGTGATGTAGATGAATGGGATGCCTCATCTTGTGCTCTTCTTCTCTTTCTTATAGCTGACATAGACTTCAAACTTATAGTCGTTGGGGGTAATTAGTGGGGAGTAAAGGGTATTAATTTGGTTATTAGTGGGTTGGTTATAGAAATTAGAAATAAATAGGGTAATTAGTGGGCTAATAAGTTGGGGAGTTAATAGGATAATAAATGGGTATTTGTATAGAGGTTATAGATGGGTTAAAATATTTGACCGGGTTTAGATGGGCCAATCGGGGCTAGGTGGGTAAACTATGCCCTGGAAACGTGTTCACCATGTCCAAACGGCGCTGTTTTTACGTAAAAAAAAAAAAAACAAAATAAATAAATCGTGAATATGGTGTTAACGGCGCGCGTTTGGTTAGATTATGAATTTTCAGTTATGAGATTATGAATGTACTGTAAATTCATAATCTCATAACAGAAAATTCATAATCGCATAAAAGAAAAACATTTATTAAATTATGAATTTTCTGTTATGAGATTATGAATTTACTGTAAATTTATAATCTCGTAACAGAAAATTCATAATCTCATAACAGAAAATTCATAATTTATGAATGTTGAAGAAGCTTGCGCTACAGAGGAGCAGCCATGGTTTCAGACGGGAATGTGTAGGCATGGTTCCAAAGTGAATGTGCAGGCATGGATTCATAATTTATGAATGTCCGAAATCATTGCTCACCTCAAATTAAAGTGAAACCGCGAAATGTGAAAATGAAGAAGAAAAGTCACGCGATTAATTAAGAAAAAAAAAAAAAGATAACGGTGCACTAACACCGTTGTTCACCATGAATGGTGAACACGGTTTCATGGCATAACGATTGGGCTAGGTGGTCCAACTGGGCCCAAATATCGGATAGATATCCATGAGAGTCAATACAGAAATGTTTTACTTATACTGAAAAATGTAATACTAATCAAAGATAAAGTATTTGTTATTTATAATGAAAAATTTAATACTTTTGAGAGAAATGTAATACTTTTATATTTTGACGTAAAATATTATTTTACATCTAAAGTATTAGACTTTCCCTTATAAATAATGTTAGTAAGTGTTTATTACTTATAAAAGAAAATGTAATACTTTTAAAATCAAAATATAAAATATTAAATTTTGTTCAAAAATATTACACTTTTCGATATATATAATAAATACTTTATCCTTGTGAATTTACACATTTTTTCTACCCATATATATAGTAGAGATAGTAGATACGTATTACTTGAGAATTCTTTTTTTGTTAAAAGAAAAATGATGGGCTTAGTAAGGTACAAAATGGTCCGTTGAACTAATAATAATGGGCCAGTAATAAACTCCTTACTGTCGACGGAGGCTTGGGTTTTAGGGTTTTAGCTTTTACTGCAAATTGTTGTGCTCGCGGAATTGATTCGGCAAAAGGAGATCGAACAAGGGAAGAAGAAGAAGAAGAGGCTGAAACAATGTTTCCGGGGATGTTCATGAGAAAACCTAACAAAGCTGCATCTTTGAAGCAGCTGAAGGCTCACGTGGGTATGTTCGGGGCTTGGGTTGTCGCTATTCGGGTCGCACCATACATCCTGCACTACTTCTCCGATCAAAAGGAGGAGCTCAAGCTCGAATTATAGGCCCTTTGGTAACAATTGCTTCTTCTCCAAACTATTCTATCTACTGGTGTTGTGTGTTTTTGATTATTCTTTTGTGTTTGTGTTTGTATGTATAGTGTGCATCTTCTGTTTTATGTCTATTGGATTCGCTGAGATCTTAGCAGTTGTTTAGTTTTTTTTTTTCATTCTATTTCTATTTAATCATTGGAATTTACAATGAGTTTTGTATAAAATGCTTGTGAGCTTGTATTACGTAGGGCCTTTATTGATTGAATGCATTTTGCTTGAGATGTAATTGTGTTAGCAATAGGTACACAGCACAGTTTAACCTGCCAAAACTGGACAGGAAATTCTAACTTGCTCTCTGAAAGAAATATTTAATTTGTAGTCTTAATAGAATCATGTTCAGTTTTATAAGGATATATAGTGCTCAGTAAGTGAAATTTGATTTGTTTCTTAATCTTTAACCAGAATCAACTACTGAAGTCATTGATTGAGTGTATTTTAGCCACTCAGAAGCAGGATAGGATTATATTAGGAATTTCAGTAGTGTGGGAGTTTGGTGGTTGATCCTAGTCTCCTAGATATGGAGTGCTAGATTCATATAAAGAACTTCAAGTTCCCATTCAGAAATGGACACAATTCAAAATGAAACTCAGTGTTGATGTTGAGAATATGAAGAAAAAACCAAATGATAACTTATATTGATTCTGATATATCTTTTGTATTTTATACTTGGTGTTGAAGATAAAATGTCAATTGCTGCCTCAATGGAATGCTCGCAAAATATGCAGCACATTTATGATGATATGTACTTCTGTAGAGGAGTTTCCTTCTTGGTAGTGCCTTAAAACTCGGCCTATGAACTGACTTAGTGCTTGTTGCCCCTAGGCTGAGACCATTCCGTTGATAGTAGCCCTTTCAATCGGCTGGTGGGTGGGTGACTAGTCGGCCACTTATTATTATTTGTTATCTAGGGTTGTTTTGCTCAAAGTGATGTAGCGAACAACCCTAAAATCAAAATCACAACATTGCAGATTCTCAGGCACACAGAGACCCTGAGAGGCTGTGACTTGAAAGTCTAGTCACCCTTGGCCACTTACACTGCCCAACTCATAATGTCACCATCACTTTTTGCCACTGGCATCGCCTTTCACCATTGACAGGTCACCATTGCCACTCGCTTTGTGCACTCCTACTGGCAGACCCTTGGAGACTCCATTGCTGATTCACCGCTTTTTGTGTTTTACTTTTTGACTTTTCCAGTTTTCTCATTGCCTTTCCACTTTTGCTTTGGGAGAAGATAATCGGAGGGATTGAATGTTAAACGTATTCATAGTTAATATGTTATTATTAGTTAATAATTATTAATTGTTATGTAACTTGCCTTTCCACTTGCTGCAAGAATTCTATAAAAAACATTAAAAAAAAAGGCGCTCATCCACCACCTGATGAGCGCTTTGCAATTTTTAAATCAATTCTTCTTGGTACTTGCTGTCTGATGTTATGATGAATATAGTCCTACTACCTAGCTTGGCCCATGATTTTCAACATGGTTATTGGTTAGGGAGGTGATTGATATAAAAAACTTGTGATATATTGAATCTATTGAACTATGCAATATTACCACGGTGAATTGATTCATTAAAATTGGTTGCTTCTTAATTTATTTTGCTGTTTCTGTGTTCTTACAACTACAGTTCTGATGTGTATGCTATAACCTAACAGTATCACTCATGAGTTGGTGTTTTCCTTCTTTTTGCAGATAGCTTGGAGTTTGGATTGGGGAAATGTTCACATGGAAAGATAAAACACAAACAAACTTTTCTTCTAAGGTTCCTTTCAACTTCATTACTCTCTCATTTCCAATCTCCATGTTCCTATTGATTCTAAAAAAGATGCCAAGTTGGCCTGTATTTATGGAAAGTGGTGACCTAATGAAACTTTATTGGGATTAGTCTGCAGTCTGCACTGTTTTATAATATATGTTGAATATGGAACATCATGTTTAAACAATTTCGGAGCCAATCCAGGTTTGATCCATTCGATTATTAGTCCAATGAAAACTTATAGGAATTTGTCAAAACAATGACATTTGATTAAGAATAATCAACGAATAATCAAAGCTTTCTTTTTTCTTAATATTTTATAAGCAAAGAGAAGATGGCTAAAATAACGAATAATTATTATTATTATTTTTTTCTTCTATTAATAAAATTACAACATGTGTTTCTATCATTTTCTTTAAATAGCCCACAAAATTGGCTCCTTATCATACAGTGCAATGAACCATGAATTAACACTCAAAGTAGTTGATGTGTCGCTTTCGTTTGAAAAGAGTTCCTCTATGTCAGGGAAGGTATACTATCTAACATTTTTTTGAGAGACTATCTAACATTTTTAAATTAGGTATCTTCCACCGCTCATCATTGGAATAGAAATTTATATTCATTACAACCACAAAAACAAATACATGAAAAATACAATTTAAATTTTAAGAAAATAAATAAAATTAAACTTAAATGAATTTAAAATATCAAGTATCAAATGATTTTTTCTCATATTCTTGAAATTGATTTAAAAATATAAAAAAAAAAAAAAAAAAAATCCCCCCACTAACCAAACATAAGAATTCATACTTCAAGAAATATTGAGAAAAAAATTTACAGAAGCAAATAATTTGCCCTTGCCCTACTGGTGACTGGTGAGATGGTATGGAAATGGGTTGGTCTTTGTCGGTAAGGTCAAGAAAATTGGCTCTATCCTTATTCCTTAATCTTGTAGGCAGACATTGTAAAATGGGTGATGAAGTAATAGCTGTCCCTCAAAAGAAGAAAAAGAAAGGCTGTGTGCAACCCACGTGTCACATCAAGGATTCGCTTGGACCATTTTCGGCAACACTGTACAATCAAGAATACGCTTCCACAAACAATCAACACCTGCAATTCATCAAATTCATATTCCCCACCTTGAAAGCAGCTCTGCTAACAATTGCAAAATTCTCCTTTCAATTTACCAACTCTTTCTCATAGCATATACCGACAGAATAAAGGGCAGAGGAGAGGAGAGGAGAGGGATTAAAGGGTCCATTAACATCTTTCTTTGACAGCCAGGTTGCACGAGAATCCTCTGAAACTCGCAGGATTTCATCAACTTCTAGACTGCTGATGAGATATTACTTGAAAAGTATGGTGTGTTTTTCGATTTGCAGCCAAGATTTTTCACTTTGTATTGGAGGTCCGTCGTGAAATTGGCCAGGAGAGGGACCAGTACATCTGTTTTTGTCTGCACATACAATACCCACAATCAATTAAGGTTGATCGAGCTGAGCAGTGAGTATATATGGCTATGAATGATGATATACCTGGAGCTGTGGGAACAAGTGCCAGCTTTGCTTTGAGATTGGGCCAGGCTGCTTTTTCTTCTGCCTCTCTTCTCTTCATGTCTTTAGGGGTGGAGTTCTACAGCTACACTGCCTTTTGGTAATTTCTTCACACTGTTAAAGATTCAGACTTTCCACTTAATTCTTTAATTTTCCCCTTAATTTGACTTGGTACTTTATACCTGCAGCTTCTTGGTCACAATCATGGGACTGGTCATTCCCTGGAGCGTCACTCTGGCCCTGGTTGATGGCTATTCTGTATTTGTCAAGTGCCCAATTCGCCAGCCAGGAATACTACTTGTGATCATTTTAGGAGATTGGGTATGCCTCACCCATTCAAATATGTCTATGTTTTGGTAATCCAGTCAGCCAAAATGGCTAAAGATACAAATTTGTAACAAAAAGTCATGAGTTCGAATCTCAGCCCTTTTAGTTTGAGCCGGTCAGCTATGGTCAATTTAGGCTGATTTACCTGACTAGGGTCATAAGGCTGGGTTTACCCAGTGCACACTCTCGGGTAGTGGGGACCTTGTGTTCAATCTCAGCTCTCTTGGTTTGAGCCAGTCAACTATGGGCAACTTAGGCTGGCTAGGCTCACAAGGCAGGGTTTACCCAGTGCACACTTTCGGGTAGTGGCTGAGGTTTTCCTCCTCACTCAAAATATGTATGTGTTGTTCTACCATTGTTGAATCTTGACAATTTCTTATGCTATAAACAGGCTTTGTCAATCCTCACACTGGCTGCAGCTAGCTCAACTGCAGGCATAGTTGATCTCCTCCTCAGATCAGATGGAACATTCTGCCCTTCAAAGCTATGCAGTAGATACCAAATATCAGCAGCAATGGCCTTCTTAACATGGTTTCTTGCCATGGCTTCATCACTTTCCAATCTTTGGCTACTTCCCTCCTTGTGAGGTTCTCTCCCTTTTTGAAGCAAATGGTATAGTAATTGTTTCAGCAAAGTACTCATATAGTTAGTGCTGCATGTAAATAGTGGATAAACTTTGTTAGGAAATATTGCTAAATATAGTTGAGAAAGAATTTCTCAAGTTTGTCAGGGATATATAGCTAGCAGAAGAGACATTTGGGGAGAAAGGAAACAGCAACTAAATGTATAGGGGAATGGGTCTCTCTCACGTTTCTGTATCCCTTAATCTCTATTGTTTTAACTACATATGTCACAAAGAATTGTTAGTTCATGCTAAACCATTGACTCACAGGGTCACAGGTTGGCAAGCAAAGATCTTGCCAGTCAAAAAGCTATTTGTAACACTCAAAAGTTTTCACTTTTCAGCAACCACTCTCAATTGGGACTCTTTTGGCACTTGGCCAAAGAATAAAAGTTAGCATCAGTTACCAATACATAACATCTTCATGTGTTTTATTCAGCAGAACCATCATTCTACCCAAGTGGTTGTCATCTTCTTTGATGAGTACATAAATGTCTTCTTGTATGACAGGATAATTGTGGATGGACTTATATTACTTTTATCCTTTTTTTCTTTTACTTTATTTCTCTCTTTTTTTATTTTGTTAAAGTTATTTTGCAATAGCCATGTTTGCTAAAATAGTTAGCCTAGAAGCCAATTTTGGTTTATTTGACCACTATTAACTGTTTGACTTAGTTAAACAATCAATATGAGTGTTTGATTAATTAGTTTTTTTGTACCTTCAAAAAAAATTAGTTTTTTTTGTAACAACTTATTGCTTCAAAATGCTAAAGTTCAAAAAGTTACTTAGAGTAGTTTTTTCGATTAGTCTTTTGAGAAAGTTATTTTGTATATAATCACTAACAGCTAACAACTAATTTACCAAACACTTTTCTACAATCAGCTCATGCTATCAATTAGTCAAACATACTAACTCAATTAGTTAACAACCATTTACCAAACACCCCCAATATCATCACTGCAAGTATGGTGAGAAGGTAGCTGATTGGGATTAGTTGATAGCATTAGGTGATTGTAGGAAATTTGATACGTAGTATATTTGCAAACAAATAATTCTCGGAGTACGAGTTATCGATCCACAGGGAAGTGGTTATATCAAGCACTAGTTACTAACTTATTCATTAGAGCTAATTCTAACAATTACTTAGATGATTGATTGGCATAAAATAAATAAAATAAAACAGAGGTTCAGGATTTTGAAAACAATTAGAGAGAAGTTGAGATTCATGGGATTCAAGTATTTAATCACCTAGTGCCAATTAACGTTTGTAATATTGAGTTTGGAATTAAGATTTGTGTGGGAATGCAAAGTGGAATCGAATTACTCCCGTAATCTCTATCCCTAGTGAATTTCCACTCCCGTGGCTTAAACACCCAATAAGATCAAAGATCAGCATTCAATTATTCCTAATTACTACAATCTCCCGATTGGCAACAATCTAGAATAAACTTCCCCTAATAAGTTCCCCTTTCCCAAAGACCAACCATTAGGTGCAATCGTGCGTGCCCTAATTTATGCCCCAACTCCCATTGGTGACACAAACATGGCTATGAAGCTAGTAACTATGGCCATTAATTACAAGCATCAAATAATATTATCACGATTGCAACACAAGTATTAAACCCAAATAATAATATATTAAAGAAACTGAGAGCTCAGGCACATAGGTTCATAAACACTTTTACCCAAGAATCTCTAAAGAATTTAGCCAAGCATGACTAAATTATACATAGCAAATATAAATAAAGAATTACAAATCATCAAAAGAGTACAAGAATTAACCAGACGATTTTCCCAAATCTCCCTAGTCTTCTTCTTGCTTTCCAAGACAACTTGTGGCTCTTGATTTCTCTCCTTCTTGTCTCCAAGAATCTCTGAATTCTCTCGGTCCCCCGGTCTCTTTTCTTAGGGTTGAGGAAGGAGGGATTTTATAGTGGGTACAAAGTTGAGATGAAATAGGAATCTTGTACCAAATTGGACTCAAATTCTAATTCCTATATTTAAATAAAGAAATTGTCGTCTTTAATGATATTTAGAATTTGGAAGATTCCTTGAATTGCTAACTTTTAATATGGAGATATGAGCCTTGAAATCCGCGCAATTGATATTAGGAAAAGAGATCTCGCGCTTGTATTGAATTTTGCCCAGCTGCGCCACTTTAAGCGTCTGTTTTTTTATCCGCGCCACTTTAGGCGTCTGTCTTTATCCCAGAAACAGACGCATATTCGACGCGTCGAGAATTTTCTCGACGCGTCGAGACTTCCTGTGCGCGAATTAATTAGCTACTGGAAAATTTTGACGTGTCGAGCCCTTGGCTCGACGCGTCGAGTCCACTGGGCCCCGAACTCATCCAAAATTGCTCCAAACTCATCCTTGAACTCCCCTTGGTCATATCTTTGACCTAAAATGGTTCAAAAACACTAACAAACACCGTAAAATATTCAAAACAAGTGCGAACCATAATTAAATGATAATAGCAAGGAAAACATGTATTAAATAAGCAAAATTAAAGAGCTTAATTACTGTGATGATTCAAAATAACCATAAAAACAAGCACAGATGTGATAACATCAAAAGTGTTTGGTAAATTAGTTGTTAGCTGATAGTTGATTACATGTAAAATGACTTTTTTAAAAATTTTATCGAAAAAGTTGCTTTGAGTAATTTTTTGAATTTTGGAGCAATAAACTATTACAAAAAGTTAATTAATCAAACATTCATATCGATTGTTTAACCAAATCAAACAATTAATAATGATCAAATAAATCAAAATTAATTGATAAGCTAATTATACTACCAAATAGGGCATGTCTTCTTGTATGACTGGATAATTGTGATAGACTTATATTACTTTTATCTTTTTACTTTTTTTTTTTTTTTTTTTTTTTTTTTGTTAAAAGTTATTTTGCAATATCACAACTGCAAATCTGTAATTGCATATAAGAAGTTAATCTGCTCTTTTTATTTCTTCCAATATACAATGCTAAAGGAAATGCCAAACAAGATTCTAGAAAACAAAAGAAACCTTCATATCTTTTGAAGAAGCAAACTAGGTTACCCCCATAGCAGAGCAAAGAAGAGGTACTATTTCAAGAACAATACCTGCAGAAGAAGAGGAAGAATGTGAGGGATGAATTGCCCAAAATTCAAATCACTGCAACAAAGAATACCTTTTTCCTGGTCCATTGAGAAGCTAGCTTGGTAGCGAAATCTGGGCATGGCATTGTTAACCAGGCGCCTTGGACCTACAAATACTGAAATCTAGTTCAAAAACAAATTATCCACTCTTTTACTATCATGATGGCTTTGCTTCGTATCAAAACGGCATATTGATAGCATTCCACCACCTCTTTCTGCTCCCAAGCTGGATGTAAATAATCCATTTGATTTAGTAATTTCGTGGCAATTTATATCATGGACCAGAGTCCATATAGCATTATGAATCTTGGATCGAAACGACGAGAGACAGAATAATGATAGAATTCATACTCGTAATGTACAGAATTTCATAAACAATATACAGAAAATCACAACACAAGATAAAATAATTTGAATAGAGAACCCATTATAAATTACACATCTCATTTTTAATATAAAAAAATATTATATATATATATATATATATATATATATATATATATATATATATGTGTGTGTGTGTGTGTGTGTGTGTGTGTGTGTGTGTGTGTGTGTGTGTGTGTGTGTGTGTGTTTTATTTAATATTAAAAAGGCTATTAACAATGTGATTGTGTTGAAGCCAAAAGAAGCTGTAAAATTGTGTTAATGTCAACAAAGGATTCAAACTCTAAACCTTCATTATAACCAAACATATGCTTTGCCAACTAATCTATCTCACTTCTTGTTAACATTTATCTGTTTCTTTATACTAATACTAAAACTTGTGCTATATATACATATATACATACAACTATTATATATGGAGTAGGGGCAGCTGCCCCCCGTTGGCTTTGTCCATGATTTCAGGTACAAAATTCATATTCTTAAGGTACAAAATTTCATAACACAAGACACAAAAATTCACAACATAAGACACATACACATGCACCAGGGTCCACAGTGCATTGTGAATCCTGATCCATGATATAAAGATTGCTATATAAGCCTGTTCTCGTATGTATAGGGCAATATGGTCCACATAATATTATGTGGACTATAACAAAAAGTATATTTTTAATATACTAAATGTACATTATTTTTGTACTGAATGTACATTATACAATATAATGTACACTTAGTACAAAAATAATGTACATTCCCTGAATACAATGTACATTATTTTTGTATATAATGTACATTAATTTTGTAATGAATATATATTATTTTACAATATACAAAATATGATCCACACAATTTGTTTGAAACATGGTCCATACAATAATCATTGTATATATAGATTATGGGGCCTAAACTCTGTCAACCCAAATTGTATATCTGGATGAATGGAATGGGTTCCTGACCTTCTAGTTGGGCTTCAACCCTCTTTATTAGGTTTGTCTATCACATAATTTTATTTTGGAAAAAATGATGAAATAGACACATGAACTTGTTTTTTTTTTTTTTTCTTTGTTTTTTTTTTAAAGGCACATGAATTTATTTATTTATTTAAAAAAAAAAAAACAACAACAACATATGAACTTTAAAAAGTTACCATTAGCTAAAAAAGTTGACATAGTAGTTTAGGAGTTTTTTTAGCATTTTTTTACCCCGCCCAATGAAACTAATGTTTAGGAGTTTTTTTAGCATTTTTTTAGCCATATCATACTAGTATCTACATCTCGTAAAATGAAACTAATAGTTAAACATTTTAAACTCTTCTCACCCAAGTTAAAACTTTGTATAGCTAATGCAAATTTGTATAATAAAAAAAATAAACTTTTTTATTATACAAATTTGCATTAGATATCCTACCTAGCACTTTTGTGTGTGTGTGTAGACTCCTAGTTTTAAGGTGAATAAATGGCCAATTAAAATGGAGTAGTCAAAGGTTTTGAACTAGACCAAATTAAGACTAAAGTAGTGGTGTGTTTGGTCCAATCATTATACAATTGAGCATGATTTAACTTGTAAAGTGAACCACCAACAGAAGGTTCATTTTATTTTTGAAAACGAGATAAGGTTCATTATAATATACCAAATGCTCATTTTATAAAAGTTCATTTTTTGTGTACTAATTAAGAATTTATTATTTAATTTTGTATATTATCTAAAAAAAATGAACTTCCAGTTACATTAAAAAAAAAAAAACAACTTTTAGTATACTAAAAATAAATATTTATTCGTAAACTACATTGCAATATATAGACCATGATCCTCAATATAATTTATTGTGTTTGGTCTTCTAATTAATCAATCTATAACTGAGTTAGAGTGATTATTAGGAGATTTACTACATCAATGATCAAAAGGAAAGTTATTA